ACTACACTCACAAAATGGACAATATGTCTTCTATACAATCAGCATAGTAGCTTGTCTTATCAATTGATAACATATTATCAGTTACATAATGTCATCAGCTTTTTTTCTTTGGTGAGGAATTAGTGGCTAAACTGACATTTGTTTCTGTACATATTCTTTGTGATACAGCCTAATGGAAAACACAGCATTAGTGTTTTGGGATCTTGAAATGAAAATACACACACATACAAAGTCTACTTTCTTCACAATTTTTTTTTAATGGAAAATGTCCTAACAGATTGTCAGTCTAGTGGCTATTTAAAATGTTGATTAAAGTGACTGTTAATATAAAATGACTTGATATAACACTGCTTAATAAGATTTTAGAAATTCAGTTTTCAGATTGCTTTACATTCCATTCTGAACAGATCAAAATATTCTTGTTTTTGTATTTCTAAATAGAGGCAGTAGTATTTCAATTCCTCTGGTGTAAAATATACAGCTATAGTATGATTAGAGTTTTTTTTTTTTTTTAACATAGGGTTTTAATTGAATAACGCTCATAATTTCAGGAAGGAAAGTTACTGATTCTCAAGAAGTCTTGGATGACTCAAAGACTTTTGAAACAAGAAGTGATATTTATAATCATATATTGAAACATAGAATTGCTTTATTCCATTTTAGCATCAGAAGATTAGCTGAATGAAAAAAAAAGTGCAACTGAAGCAAAGTTTTTTAAGATTCTGCATAACGCTTAAAAGTTGTACAGCCCAGCAAACTAAGCAAGACATTCGTCTCTATAATTTAAGTCCCACTAGCTTATATGGTTAATAAAGAGTTAAAATACTAACAGGAAACTTGAGTACCATGTGAGGAGCCAGGTACTTCCATTTGTTAGGCGTGTTCCCTTCTCTCCTTACATTCCTCCAGGCCACCGGCATTCAGTTTTATAAAATCTGCATAGGGACCCATCAGCTGCCCTAGAGGCATCACATATTCCTCTCCTTTGATTGATAATCAACCAACTTAAAAAGAAATGTGTAACCTGAGGGTAAGGTTAGGCTGGCGTATGAGGCACGCGGATGATGAGCAAGTGCTCTGTTGGCCGAGGGCTGCCCGCACCCCTTCCCAGTGATACTCAGAGGCAGAAGCAGGGAGCCATCACTTGAACTCCTTGGAGGTTTTGTCTTCTCCTGCAAAGGGGATCTTCATCACCACGTAATGGAAGGCAGAAAGGGCAAAGCCTATCACCTGTTTACCAAACTGCTCTGCTATTTGACCTCCTCTTTTCCTTATCCCCAGGTAGGGAAACAAATGCAGGCATAGTCCTGTGGACAGAGAATGAAAGTAACAACTTTGAAGAAAAGAAAGGATTGGGTCTGTAGGTCCTAGCCAAAGATGTAACTCTTATTTTCCCAGTTTTGGTCAATAGGCTGGGATGATGATGGCACAATATGACATATTCCAAAAAGGAAAAGGGAAAAAACTCAACATCATTGACACCAAAATCAAAGAATCATATAGTACATAGAGTGTGCCTATTTACTGAACCAGGGCATGAGATTCTCCATATCCCAGTTATGCCTGTAAGCCATGAAAGAGCGTAGTTTTTATTCTGTTTTATTTTGGGCATCTTAGATTTGGTGGACTACAGACCCCGACTGTGCAGAAATCAGGACAGTACCTAAGAGCCACTGGATATGTATTCAGTTATAGCATCTTTTTAAAAATAACAGTGAACTTTACTGTGTACTTGTTTCACTTACCAGCAGGTGGATGCTGCCAGCACACAATATTCTAGAGAAACAGCCTAGATTTATCTTTCTGTACAGACAGCATTGCAACATGTGATACTTTTTACATTGTTACATTTCAGAACACAACAAAATAACCTCAAAAGCCAATAAATCAACATGTAAAAGGAAATAGAAAAAGAGAATAGAAGAAGTGAATCATTAGATATATACGTACCATTCACCTACTGAGTAGTGGAATATGAGAATCAATTTGGGTATCATCTGGTTAAGGTCAGTTATACCGTCAAAACTCAAGACCTGCACTGATCTGGGAAAAAGACCTATCATACCATTACCAGCATTCAGTGAAGAGAAATACGATTCAGTGGCTTGATCTGCATGACGCACAACCTTTATATTGCTGCAAAAGAGCATTCTTTAAGGATTTTTCCCTACTTATTTTGGATAAACTTCATTTATCTCCAGCTGAAAGGAACAGACCACCAGATGCCAGAGTCAGCTTCCTCAGACAGCACTGAGGCCACGCACACAAGACAGCATTTCCTCACCTCCTTTCTCTCTCCTGTCACATGCTCTGACCTGCTCAGGCTAGGACTGCTATCCCACAGCCCAAATCTTCATTTTCCCATCACACCTCTGTGCTGTGATACCAAATGCACGTCCCCAGCATCGTCGTCCTTGGTAATGGGGCTCACTGCTCCTGCAGGACTCACCCTGGCATATGATACTGAGGGTGCTACCACAAAGCACTTCAAAGTGCTCTATATAATACATCTTGGCACACAGACCACCTCAATAAAGTCAGCACTTTCTAGAACATTTCTTATGAGCATGAGCAGTAACATCCAAGCAAAAAGAACCACAATAGTACTGGTTCAGTTCTTTTGAAAACATAATTATACATCGCTACTTTATGGTACTTTGCATGTATACAGATATCTCTACATACCAAAAAATTCCAAGTCTCTGCGTTCACTCAGAACAGTATTTACTGTATGTGACAGAATCGTTTACAATATGATTCTCAGTAGATCCTAATTCCAAATGCTATCAGGTAAGTATATCACAGATTCCCCAGAATCTACATTTTGACTCTTTTCTAACTCATTTTATACATTTAGGATATTTAGTAGAGTTCTAGTTATCATATTACATTTACATTTTGTTTGGTGCAATTCTACCTTTCAACATGTTTTTATTAAATATATTGTGATATTGCTTAAAATTCTGAGGAAGTCAAATAACTATTTAATTTTAAAAGTGAGAATTACTTAAACTTTCTTGTTATTTTTCCTCAGTTTTTTTCAGCACTGAATAAATCAAACAACATTCATAAATGCTTGTGAGATACAATAAAATATAATTTATTTGCTTAGAAAGTGTTACCTTGAACTTTAAAATGCAAAGCAAAAAATTATAGTGGTAATACAAGGAAAGAAACAACATACAGTTATAAAGTAGCTCTAAATAAAAAGCTATATTTTGAACCAAAACCAATAAAATTTTTTTTTAAGTCAGCATTGCTGCTTTCTGTACACAAATGAGGATATTTGTCAATATTGCAGACTGCATGCCTGTAATGACTCAATGCTTTCATCTGAATCATATTGTTTCTCTTCTACTTAATAAAACTGTTCAAAGATTTAGCAATTAATTTGTACAGATTATCAGCAACATTTTTTGTGAGAGCATACAGAAAGCAGAAACGCTTATCAGAAACATGTTAGGGATCTGACCCAAGCAGTCCTTGACTAGCAAAATACTAGCATGTATAGCTTCAACATGTTTTCTCCTGTAGACCTCATAGAAGGGAAAAATAGCCACAATACAGTATATTACAGCAGTGCCCAGATACTGAGTGCACCTTTGACAACATCAGCCAGGTGGTACAAATCAGGGAAACCCTCTAGTTATTGCTGTAATGCTGATATTACAAGTGGAGAACTAATCAAGGAGAGCCTAGACAGTCTGCTCACTTCACTGTCAAGCATGTAGATAAGTGAACCAGTTAAGAGATGCTGGTCATTGACTTTATTTCAAGAAATATCAGAGCTGTAAAAGTTACTGCCAAGTGTAATTAGTGCACTGTAGTTTCTTTGCTTTACATGTATTCATGTATAAACTTAGTGTCCTTCTCCTGATTTTCACAAATATATTAGAGGTGACATCCTTATTCAATGCAAGGGTATCAAAGGTTTACAGTAAGGGTATTCACTCAAGCTGGATATGAAAATAAAAGCATCAGGATTAAACAAGTTACTATGATGCATGGATATTCTGGTTGTTCCCACTTTGGGCAAGGATAAGTGAGTGCACTAAGTTGTGAAGAATCAGACCCACCATAACATTTTAGGGCCATTGATTACCTTTTTAATAAAAGCTAATCATATTTTCTAGATTAATAATAAAAGGAAAATTTGATTAAAATGTAAGGATAACATGCATTGTACTAAAGCCTAACGACTACAGTGATAGTCATAAAAATTGTCTCTGCTTGGAAGGTAACTATGAAAATTGTGAGAATGATAGTATGCTTCAGTAAAATTGGGCTTTTTTCCATCACTAAAATAGCAAACATTTCCTTCGTGACTTCATGAAATAAATACAGCAACCACCTTGCAGTCTATGTCTTGGGACATTCAAAGTCTTTAATTTTGTATAAACACTTTTATGCTGTCACTGCTTAGCCATTTTGTGGCTTACTGCTGTAATGTGCTGCACAGTGCCAGATGCTTCATCGTGCTCAGTGGAGCTTCTGGGTTTACGTAGCATTTGGTGAAAATATCTGGCCTACAAATAAAGATATTTTCTCCCATGATAAAATCCAACTCTTTTAAGTGTGAAGCATTGTTCTTAAAAGGACAAGGCATTTTTACTTTAAAATTACCAATTATCGTGCTTTCCTTCTGCAGATCGTTTCTTCAGTGGACACATAAGCACATAAGACTTTCATACCACTGTATTTGTGTCACTGTAGCATAAATTATAAACATTCAACCAGGGACTATAAACTGTACCTGTAAAGAAGCTTCTTTTATAGGTGAAAAAGAATACAAAATAGCAACACTATATTTATTTGAGACCTCTGAGAGAAAATAGAAAGATCCTTTAAACACTATATTAAGTCTCTTCTGGTCTGCCAGAAATAAAACACAGTATACGTTCAGATATACAGCTTTTATTGTGTTTGGGTTTATTCTTAGAGGCAAATGGATTCTATATATTTTCAGTTCAGACACAAATTTTAAACTGCTGCCAATTTATAGTTGTCTACAGGCCTTCCAGAAACATAGCAGCTATCTAGAGTCCAACTTTCTGTGCTGCTGCACACATGAAGGGGATAATGCAGAACGGATCTCTCCTGTAGGGCATGAGAATGGGATATAAAAAATAATAATAATAAAAAAGAGGCTGTATATGACCCCATGATACAAAACTCAAGTTAAACGATTACGAAATAATAAGTAAGCAGAACACTACAAAAGAATTGGATTCCATGTTTGCCTTAGTTCTATATACAAATCTATATTATACACATCTTTCCAACTTTTCCACGTTCCACATTGCACCTGGGATACTCAGTGAGAAACATGGGCCAAGTACTGCCTAGCCAGCAAAGCAACAGCAAGCAAAGATCTTGCCAGAGAAAATACGATTTTCAAAGGACAACTACTGTCAAAAAATTCACACCATTTAACCATTTACTTTTGACACAACCACACAATATAGTTCGAGTCAAACTTTATGAGATACAATGTCCAACTTAGGCTATTAACCTCACTGTTAACTATCCCCAGCTCTGCTGCCACACTGTGCTACAAAAAAAGAGGTTTTTATATGTGCAGTCCTTATTTCCCCAGAACGAACCTAGGCCTATTCATTAAGTTGCATGCTAATAAATAAGAGAATCCTGCTTGGTTCAGACCCTATTGACTACAACTACTGAAAAACAGATTTGGCTGCTGGCCCAGTTCACAGCCTTGTGCTAGTGTGTTCTCTCTCATCTCAAACAGGAGTAATGACCTCTGCTAATAGGGGACAATAAATGCTCAGTTTTAAAAATTGCAATTAAGATTTCTAAAACAATCTCTTTCAATGCCATGTATACTCACAAGAAAGAGAAGACGAGCAGAACTGTGGGGCGGCCTGGCAAGAATGCACGTATCTGTGAAACAGCGAAGCAATCAGGCTTTGTGGTATTTTTAGATACTTTCTTTTTCAAGTACTAAAGATTTGGAATACAATGGCAAACGGAGTGGCTGAGATGGGATAGATTACCGCTGAATGTTGTACACATCAAATATTCAACTCTGATCAAAAGCATGGGTCTTCAGTGCATATCTGATACACTGTAAAAGCTTTCCGTGACACAGGCTATCTAGTTCTCTCATGGCTATGTTAACTGTGAGATACTGTATCTGCCTCAATATATCTCATAAAGTCTAAAAAAGACCTGGAAAGGAAGTCAGTTCACTAAGCCCAGTGAAACTTGAAACTCGTCCAGACGTTCACTTATTCATATCAACTCTCCTAGCTTGGTGAGTAACTTTGAAACACAAAGTAATGAAAGAGAAAACTACGTATTGAGCAAAACCTATAGAATTGATATTGGTGGGAAGCCAAAGTATTTTCAGCACTCAGTAGCAAATATGGCTCTCTCTACTAGAATTTTGCATTTAATTACTGCTTCATTTGCTCACTGAATACAAGAATTAGAGATGAAATGCATTCAGTTCTCTCAAATCTTCAGCTATTTCCCCATGCAAGATGTATATTTTTACACTTACAGTATTTGGTTACCTCCTTTATGATATCACAAGTCCATTTACTTTACTCCTTCTCCCGTGCATTTGTAACATTTACAGAAATGTACAGTATTCAGAAATTGCGTATTTAACTTAGTGTTTCTCCTCTAAGCAGAACATATCTCTGTTACAGAGAGAAAAACAGAGCATCCACAGTACATAAGATAAAATGGCAGATGGTCCCACACACCTGCGCAAAGGCAGGAAGGGTATTTTGGGAAGCCAAGACAAGAGAAGTGTGGTGGGACGTCTGCAGCACCGCCTCTGGGAGGAGCCCCTAGACAACCTGCAGCTTTCATGCTGCTGCAAACACTGGTGGAAGGCACTTGGGAAGTCACTGCTGCTTTCTCTATAGGGTTAGGTGAATCCCAGCTGGGATATCAAGGAATTGGTCTAGTGCCCCTCCATAGGATGCACTTCTGCTTAACACCAATTTTATATGAAGTGCTCTAAGAGCCTGCTTATTCATTTCCTTCCTCTCCCTTTTTTTTCTTGCAATTGTTTTCCAGTGCAGTTCTCCTCTTTTTTTTTTTTTTTTTGCAGCCTTTTTCCTAAATTCCTATTTTCAGCTTTTCCTTTGTATAGTTTCTCTCCTCCTTTCTTGTCCCTCTATTACTCCTTCCTCTGTCTTCTAAGGATGCCTCAAGCAACAGGAGCAAGCCATTCATTAACAAAAAAAGTAGTGAACACTATTGCATGAGGATCTATCAGAGGTATAGCAGAGAATACCAAACTCTAAGTTAACTTAAAATTACATAAATGCTTCTTCACAGTCCTACTTTTTCTATCTTCTGTACATAATGTAGAAGCAATAGGCTCTTTCCTGAAATGCAGGGCTTGAGACTGACCCATCTAGCCTTTAAAAAAACCTCCAAAACTTGTCATAAATGGCTCCAAAGGTTTCTATTGTTTAAATAAGGTGCAGTATATTGGCCAGCACAACCCCTGTTTTGAATTTATGATACCCTATGGAAAGCAAGCAGCAACTGTGATAGTGCCTTATTCATTTTAGTATTCCCAGCAGCTTAAATTCATCCTAGACATTCAATACCCAGGAAACCTTGCCATTAAATACATTCTTACCCAGGCAAACTTTTTCTAGTCAACTCCTTTTGCTGTTTTGGTTTTGGCAAGACCTTTCATACCATTACTCACCAGCAAATGAATCTGGTTATCACTAGAACAAATACAACTTCCTCACAGACAAGACATGTCACGAGAACTGTTGATAAAAGACTGTTCCTGGGGCAGTGTGATGAAACAGTTTATCCTTGCAATGGCTCAATACCTAGGAGAGGAAGCATTTTGTTACTTCAGCAACTCCCAGTCGTGCTTCAACTGACATTAACTTGATTGTAAAAGATGTCCTGCAAGTTGCAATATAGTAACTTTAAGGTGAACAGCAGATGAAGGGAGTCATTACTTGTTTAAAGATACAGAATGAAGTTTCCTTTGTCATTAATAATTTCATTGAAACAGTTTAAAGTCAAGTGTTGTTCCCATAATTAAAGCTGCTTGTGTATTACTTGCACTGTATTTCATTTGGAAAAACAGCTGCACTTTTGCTGATGCTTTCATTTTCTGACACTCATGCACTACCATCACATCCCTGTAACAATGCTACTGTAGGCATTACTACTTACAAAACACGTAACATCTTAAATATTGTTTGTATTGAAGAGAAATAATGGGAAGGCAGCTACAGAATGCTTCCTCTTTACGCAGCCAACAGATAAATATATCCAGTGCTAGCCTGCATTTCTGAATGTAAGGTGAAAGTTTGGGAGCTTGAAGGAGACAGCTAGAAAAGAGAAAGGCAGAAAGGGAAGTTTAGTTCTAAAAGGGCTAAAATTCTCTGAAGACTAAAATGCACTCTTTCACTTAAATAAGGGGGAAGTCCAAAGGGGTGAAGCTAGACGCTTGCTTAAACATTTACCTGATCCAGCATGAAAATCAAGCTAGCAATGAGATTTTAGTTTAGTGGTGATCTACCGTATGATAGTCTCTTAAAGAAAAGAGATTATTTCTTTTAGCTCTGCCATTTCTTTTTTTTTTCAATTTTTACTTTCTGGCAAATAGCTTATTCTTGCGAGCTGCTTTTCCTACCTTCTGTAATTCACGTTTCAGTTAGATTTTGCTTTTTAATTTTAAAATAGTGAAATAGTGTATCTTCCTACCTCAGATATAGCAACCCTGAAATGAATTAGTCTGTCGTTAATTTCTAAAAATTAAAGGGCATGCTTATCAAGAGAACCAAAATGGAACACACACAGTTTGTACAGTTCAAATGAAAACATTTTTCTGTAAAAATAGCATCTTCATACTACATATTATTCACATGCCAAGGATTCAGATCATAGTTTCTTGGTTTACAAACAGATATGTTCGTGTTGCTGCTACCTATACCTATACCTATACCTAGTCTGCTACCTGCAGACTACACCTGTAAGACACAATATTCAGCTGTATTCTCTTTTTATACTTCAACAATTCTAGTAATGATCCATTACCCAATTATGCCTCAATAGCAGCTGTGCAAATCCACTATGCCCAAACTAGACCTTAACCTTTGTTTAGCCCAGACTGTGTTGAATGGTGCTTGCACTGGTGTAGCTTAGAGCCTGCCTGGTTTTTGGCACTGGGGAAGTATGTGTTGTGGAAAACCAGGCTGAATTTCAGATCTCTAACAGTATAGAGCTGTAAGGCTGGCAGCGTTATACGGAGGGAAAAGTCTTAATTAGAAATTGGGGACACTGGGATCTGAAAAGCAGTAAGAGGTATCATAACATCACTTCGGTGGCTGAGTGCTTTGTTGGGAGAGGACCACAACCACAATATCTTTAAATATTGTATTTGTTTTCCTTAAGTGATACAGAATTGCAAGGATAGTTTAATAACTGATAGCCGATAGCCTAAAACTAATTGCATACTCAATGACAAAAGTTCCCCAGGACCAAAAGCAAATTTTCTAGTATCCTCTCTTGAAGGGCTACAAGCCCTAACAGATGAAAAAAGCTGGGACATTAAGGAGAGAGAAAAAAATGAGTACGATCCACCAGAAGACACATGGCTGTGAGTCTCCTCTGGGAAGCAGAAGCATCAAATATCAGGCAAAGGGTAGGACTCCACCGTGCTTCCCAAGTGACTTCACCGCAAGGTTGTTATTCTATGCTGGCATCACATAATTTATGAGAAATCTTGCAACTCAGCTGGAAATATTAAATAATTTTGCATCTTCTCCTAGAAAATAAATTTCTATATTTCTGATCACCTATATTGGAAAGTTTTTTGTTAGCTCTCCCACCTTGCTCTGCTTAATCAGCTTACCTGGAACTGAGCACCTTCCTCTGCAACAACATGTTACACACAGTGCACCCAGGCAGCTTCATTCCTAAATAAATCTGTTTCCCGCATATGTTGGGAAAAAACTTGAACACTCTAGTGACAGTCCCCGAGGAGAGCAAAGCATGCTTTTCTGCTCCCTAAAATGCAAGTTATTCTGTAGCCCTTTTCAGGTTTAGGTGCAACTGCAAACTGCAACACAGGCAAGAGAAAGGCGCCAGGTAGCCCTTGTGCTACCCGAAGAGGCTGGTCTCCGTCAGAGAGTTGTTGCTCAGCCATCAGGCAGGTACAAAGGAGAGCAAAGCAGGAAGGGACAAGTGGGACCGATCTGAACCACCTCCTGGGAATCAGGTGCCAGAGAGGCCGTGCCGGCTGCACCCGGGAGGTTCACACCCAACCCCGGCTCATTTCAGCGAAGGCAAAAGTACCAGTCTGGTCACAGCATGCCCCTTACGGTGGACTTTGTAAAGCGCTAAACGTTTCTAAGACCGGGATTAAGCGTTTGCTTAGTGTGTCCCCCGCCCTTCCGCCCGCCTA